TGCATAAACCAATGTTTACCAATTGCCACCAAGCTTTTTAAAAATCATTCTAAAGGATGTATAGCCAAAGTGCTGTAATAAATTACAATAGTTAAGTATTAAAATAATGTCGTATTTGTGATAATATTGAAGGGCAGGCTTATGGAATGGCCCCTCTGAATTCTGTGGCTTGGGCCACTGGGAAGGGGGCTCCCTTTTGGGGCTAGAAAGGGGGTTTCCTCACTCTAGTAAAACTATAATTTACCTTTAAGTGGCATAGTTCCATCTTAGAGAATCCTGGGGTTTGTAGTTTGGTGAGGCACTACAGAGCTGTATTTATAAATTTCGATAAACCCTCCCTAAACTGCACATCCCAAGGTTTCATTGGATAGAACTGTAGCAATTTAATTGAAATAGAAGCACTATAATTCTCTAGTGTGAATGGGTCCTAACTGTCAGCACCACAGATGCAATGAGCAATATCATTGCCATAAGATGGGACCCCTTTTTGCTAACTATTTTAATACAGAGTCCTGGTTCCCATAGGGGGCAATTTGATTTGGAGGGAGGGGAATTAAAAAAAATGCTTATATGGGGCATGGCCAAAAGAAAAAAGAAAAAAAAAGAAAAGGGGTTGGAAACCACTGATGTAAAGGGATATTGACCTTCCAATATGTCTATAACTCCAACAGTTATGCTTGGGAAATAAAAAAAACTTCTAGGGCCCCTTCTACATTGCCATATAAAATCCAGATTATCTGCTTTGAACTGGATTATGTGGCAATGCAGAAGGGGGCTGATTCTACATAACTGACTCCTTTAAGCCATATGGCCTTAATTTAGAGGACAATAGTATTATTAGCTCCAGCGTTGTCTTCTGAGTTCTCCACCAAAGCCCATGGGAGCACCATGGGATGTTGTTTATCTCTCCAATTCCAGGTAACATCAACAAGAAAGGCAGATGGTGAATGCTTAGTGGGATTTTGTAAATAAATGATTGTTTGCAATAGTTGTATTGAATATAATTTTATAATATCCCTCTGGGACACAGATTCAAGCTTAAAGCATATGTACACACACACACACACATTATTTTATACATTTTATTTTCTCAATTTTTATCTGGAAAAACCATATCTTAAAAGTCCACCTTCCTCACGACTGTTGAACTACTAAGTGTGCTAAATCAATTTGCATTATTCACATGTATGCTAATATGACTCCCTTAAGAATTAGCTATAAACAGTCAGCTATCATTACACTATACCGGTTTCCTGGGAGATTAACAATAAAGCAGCTGTCCCAATTAAGCAAAGAGAGGTACAGTAATATTTTATATGTATGCAGCACCTTTCATCCTAAAACATTTTTGCCCATTAAAGGTACATGATGTTATATAATGGATGTCTCTATGGAAGAGTTCCCACATAAGAATGAAAAGTTGGGGGGGGGGGGAGGAAAAATTGCAATGTGGCAAACACCTGTTCTTAAATATGGGGGCTCTACATATCTAGGGAGGGCAATGAAATTCTGTTCTCAGTGAACTGACTGGAACAAGCATTTAAGAACCTGTCTGAAAGATCTATATGGCAAATCCTTTTTTCCTTCCAACCCAGCTTAGTAAAAATGTGAAACACATGAACTGAACATATTCCAAGGCTTTCTTCATTATACCAGCATTTATGGTTGGCTCATGTGAAAATTTTCATATTCTCTAAAGCAGGGATGTCAAAAACATTTTCATTGAGGGCCATATTGACCTTCTGGTTGCCTTCAAAGGGTCATTGAATCCATGGATGCACAGGGTCGACTATAGTCCTTTTACATATTGGTCAGTGTTTTTTAGTTTTTACTCAATTTGCATCTCCAGGTGTTAATGAATTGCAACTCCCATCACTTTTAACTATTTGTCATGCAGATTGGGGATAATAGGAATTGCAACCCAAAAGCACGTGTAGCTCTGTGGCTGAGGAAAGATTAAAGGACATTGCAAAGTCAGGCATCATAGCTTCAAGTCTTGTATCTCAATTCAAACCCCACTGTCCTGATTAAACAGAACAAGCTGCTAATTTCCAGACGTTACTGTATCACAACTCCTATCAGCTCTTGTCATGAGATCTAATGATGAGGAATGCACAGCAGTTGTAGTCCAGCTTCTTTTAGTCCAGCATCTCATGGGCCATATAAAATTATATAGAGGGCCAGATTTGGCCCATGTCCTCTATAGCAACCTTAGCCTGCCATGAGCCCTCAGACGTTAGGGCACAGTTATTACTATCATTCCACCACCTTTTGCCCTGATGTCTGAAGATGAAGGGATTTCTAACCCAATATTTGGAGGTTGAGGATGATTGCTCTAAATCATGGTTTGGAGGATTGAGTGTGTGCTGTGGTTTTAATACTCTCTCATCTCCTGGGGCAGTTCCAGACAACCCTTTATCCCAAAAGCATCCGCGTTATAAAAAACACAGATTTTTTTTTGGGGGGGGGGGCTGTCCGCAACTACCCCAGAAAGCACGTGCTTTCTGGGGTGGGTGTCCACGTGTTCTCTCGGGACTAGCCCGAGAGAATGTGTGGAAACCCTATCCCCCTCCCCACAATATCCCAAATCCCTTAGAAAACAAAGAAAAACTTACGAAGCCTCCATTAGAATCCTCAGCGAGCTCTCACAGCATGTAGAAATGATGTACCAGGAGAGCAGGGGGGAAGCAATTTTCCTCCCCCCCCCCAACTCTCCTGGAGCATTCCGGGAGAGCTCACTGGGGCTTCTAATGTAGGCTATGTAAGGGTTTTCTTAGTTTTCTAAGGGATCTAGGGGCTGGGGGGGGGGGAGGGGGTATTCTCACAGTTTACCAGGCCCAGAAATAGTGCATTTATTTCATGCCTTCCAAGAAGACACGGAATATATGCACTATCAAATTAATTTGCTATAAACCAGGGTTTTCCTGGTTTGTAGCAAATTAATGCAGGATTGTCCAGAATGTTGTCTGGACAGCCCCTCCTTTATTGCGGGAGTTCCCGCAATAAAGGCCCTGTCTGAATGGGCCCCTGACTAGCTAAGATTGAATTATTTATTTCTTCTTTAGCACAAACTCTGATTCTACAAGCTCATCTGAATCAACAAACTATGGTTTATATAAAGCCTAAAAACCAGAACTTAAGTCATGAATCACAGTTCACAATTCCAATCTAAAGGGTAATCACAAACCATGGTCTGAAGGTTCAGAGCTAAAAATAAGCTGTAGGGTACTAAGGAATGCATTCAGTACTGGTCTCACCTCTGAGGAAGCTTGCCATAGATGCAGGCGAAACGTCAGGAGAAATGCCTCTAGAACGTGGCCATATAGCCCGAAAAAACCCCCTCTGAGGAAGCTTGCCATAGATGCAGGCGAAACATCAGGAGAAATGCCTCTAGAACGTGGCCATATACCTGAAAAAACCCACAAGAACTGAGTGATTCCGGCCATGAAAGCCTTCGACAGTACTGGAATTGTTTGAAACTATTTACATCTTAGGCCCCTATTGCTCCGTTGGTCTGCTTTCCGTTTTTTGCAAAATAGAACACACTTTTAAAAAACCTGTCATGTTTTTTGCTTATTAAATATAGAGAGTGTAGTCCAATTCATAGTCCCATTGATTAGTTTCAATGAAAGAGTGAAATTTGCTAGCATTAATTTCCACATTTACATTTTTGAGTGAGTTTTCTCTAGTTGAGACTCATTCTGAGTTATGCACCCCATGTAAGTTAAAGTAGTGTTAAATCTCATTCATTCTACAGTGTAGATACACCCCAATTCTAGAAAAGATTATGTTGAATTTTTTTTCTTTCAGTATCAAAGATGCTACAAGATTCTTTTGAATATTTACATTACAGTCTAACATGGATGTGGCTGTGTATAAATATTAGGAGGTCACTGTAAATTGCTATGAATTTCACATAGTAAATAAAAAAAGCCAATAATGTGTAGAACCACTGAATCAGCATTTGCTTATTTTTTCAGCATTTTTTCAACTGTTTCCAGCAGCTAATGGAACTAGTTGGAAATCGTGATTGCAAGAAGATCGGCCAAAAAAGTAGATGAAGCATATGAATTTTTAAAAAGTGTGAAAGGAGGATTCCTAATAAGATTATGCCACTGATAATATACAAAATGTTGCTTTAAATATTGTTTTCTAAAACGACTTTTATCAGCTAATGCTCAAGTATTGAGGAGCACATGCTGTGGCACAATCGGATAATCAAAATATACCACTCATAGCAGAGAAAGGAATAATTAGCATTTACAAATTAATTAACTGAAAGACATTTGAATGTTGGTTCTCTTTTTCAGTGCAGATCAGCCATATGATACATTCATTCAAATCAGCATTTCATTCTAGACATCTTTGGTTTAGCTTTCATAAGAACCAAATAAATAAGGAGTATAAGAACCAAATAAATAAGGAGCAAAATACAACAGATGTTTAGTGTTGCATTCCATTTGTACAGAAACATATGAACAGAGCTGAGACTAAAAGAGGGAGTACCACTAAACTGATAATTCTGCATTCTCCCACAGCTTTCCAAAATATTCAGTTCTTGATATGAATATACAAAAATGAATTGCAGATTTTTTCCAGTTCCAAGCCAGGCCTATCAAATGATTTTTAAATTATGGGTTTAAAAGTTGAATTTATTGTTTAATATTTGTTGTTTTTGATGAACTGTTTCAATTGATGTTATCACGTGGTGTCTGTCCTCGTACCCCATCTTAATTCACAGGGGAAGGTGAGCAAAAGATTATAGTAATAACAATTTGGAGGAGGATGAGGAAGAGGAATTGTTGTTATTGATCAAGGAAAGTATGTCAACTATAGACCCAAGAACTAGGTCTATAGTTGACATATTCACGAGAAACACATTTGTTTCATTGTTCAAATACTTAGTTATGAACTAAAGCAGGCCAGATTTATTCTGTTTTCCATACCATGAAACCAGATCACAAAGCTTGTGTGAGAGTTTAATTTTAAATTATACTCACTATAGCCTTTTGGAAACTTCTTCCATTTTAAGTGAGCAGTCAGCTGAAATATAAATACCATAGGCCAGTCTTTATAATATGGAGAACCATGGATTAATTCTTCTTTTGCCAGCTGTTCACGCTTTGCTAGTTCCTGAAAGACAGTTTAATGCTCAAGAGTAGCAACAAAGATCTATTTTAAAAGAAGCAATAGGGAAACAAATATAAAGAGGGGAAAGATACTTTCTACAGGAGGAGCCAAGTACTACAAAATGTGAAAATCATATATATTATGGGTTTTACCTTCATATAGGCATTTTATTTTTCAGTTAGAACTTAATATAATGGGAAATGGAAATTGGTATAAATGTGATGGAAATTACGGATAATTGATGGTCATAACATTACATTCAGAAACATCAGTCTTACATAACAGATATGCTGCAGGACTCTTGAAGCAGGTATAGGTGTGAAAGTAATTGGTGGCTATTTTGCATTTAGTTCCAGTATGTGTGAATTTAATATGGAAGTGTAGGAATGCAAGACACAATTAGATGTGAGGATTGTCTTGATATATTTGTCACTTGTTAACTATACGTAATCATTTGCTAGAGCAGCCAGATTCCAAGTTCTAGTCTTAAATCCTGGGGCCTGGCAAATATTTGCTTCATCTGCAAGACTTTTTATATAAAGGGCATACCCTAGTTGAATCTTGGCTAATTACATCCTCAAGGGGTGCTCTTTACAATATTATCCTTGCAATATTACTAGGGCATACTCCTTTAATATCACAAGAGGTTTCCTCTAGGTCTCAGACTTCCGCCCTGAAATCTTAGTTGTGTTAGTCACTTTACATCCAGAATACTACTTTTAGTTTGTTATTGTTAACTGCCCTCAACTCAACTTCAACACATGCTGTCCCTGTGAATGAGACACCTCCATGACATCTTATCCTCAATAGCATGATCAGGTCCTGCAGATGCAGGATTGTGTCTTGATTGATTTTGTTTATCCATCTGGTACACAGTTTTCCTCTCTTCCTGCTGCCCAACATCTTTCCCAGCATTATCATCTTTTCTACTGCTGGTATCATGAATGGTTTAGTCAACCCTTTTCATATAATCATAGAGTTGGAAGATACCTCATGGGCCATCCAGTCCAACCCCCTGCCAAGAAGCAGGGAAGTCGCATTCAAAGCACCCTCGACAGATGGCCATCCCACCTCTGTTTAAAAGCTTCCAAAGAAGGAGCCTCCACCACACTCCGGGGCAGAGAGTTCCACTGCTGACCGGCTCTCACAGTCAGGAAGTTCTTCCTCATGTTCAGATGGAATCTCCTTTCTTGTAGTTTGAAGCCATTGTTCCGCGTCCTAGTCTCCAGGGCAGCAGAAAACAAGCTTGCTCCCTCCTCCCTATGAGTTCCTCTCACATATTTATACATGGCTATCATGTCTCCTCTCAGCCTTCTCTTCTTCAGGCTAAACATGCCCAGCTCTTTAAGCCGCTCCTCATAGGGCTTGTTCTCCAGACCCTTGATCATTTTAATTGCCCTCCTCTGGATACATTCCAGCTTGTCAATATCTCTCTTGAATTGTGGTGCCCAGAATTGGACACAATATTCCAGGTGTGGTCTAACCAAAGCAGAATAGAGGGGTAGCATGACTTCCCTAGATCTAGACACTATGCTCCTTTTGATGCAGGCCAAAATCCCATTGGCTTTGTTTGCCGCCACATCACATTGTTGGCTCATGTTTAACTTGTTGTCCATGAGGACCCCAAGATCTTTTCACATGTACTGCTCTCAAGCCAGGCATCCCCCAATCTGTATCTTTGCATTTCATTTTTTCTGCCTAAGTGGAGTATCTTGCATTTGTCACTGTTGAACTTCATTTTGTTAATTTTGGCCCTTCTCTCTAATCTGTCAAGAACGTTTTAAATTCTGCTCCTGTCCTCTGGAGTATTGGCTATCCCTCCCAATTTGGTGTCGTCTGCAAACTTGATGATCATGCCTTCTTTTGACTGTTATATTGTGATAACTTTACTTTTAGTGACTTCTCTTGTGACCATCCCATGTATATTCTTGACAAGAAAAAGAGTTTCAATAGATCATAATTCCTCATTCAAAAAAGGGGTAGGTAAAGTTAACTGAAACATTTTGCAAAAAAAATAATCATTTAAACTATTCTTGCATAAAAACACTCAATGTTTGGTGCATAAAAAAATAGCAAATGCAATATATATGGAGAATATTTCTGTTTTTGATCAGCAAGCCAATCTTTTTCACAGATTGCACATTCAAGCATCTTGAATAAGAAAAATTATCAAAAATGAACAAAACATCTTGTAATCAAACCTAGCAACGATGTTTTTTAAAAGAAGAGACTTTCCCTCCCTGACAAAGTTAGGGAGGGAGAGCAGTTTGCCTCTTCCCCTGAAGAAGAGGAGGGATGGTTCCAATTGAGCCATCTAGAAGAAAGAGGTGTGGCTAGCCAAGGTGCAGCCAGCCTTACGCTATTCAGCTGCCAACCGCCGACCTGCCACTCCCACCCATTAACAGTATAACTTTGTGGTTGCCTATTGGGACCGGGTAGGAATTTTTCCTTCCTATGTTCTGGGAAGGTTTTTTCGCATATCCTATACTGTTTAGGGGCTAGCTGGGATGATGGGTTCTGATTAAATAGGCCTAGCATAAATAGCTAGGGAAACCCAAAAAAGTTGGTGTACATCTAAGGAACCCCCTTTTGGGGTGTAGGCCTTTACCTAATACACTCACTTTGATATCCAATTAAGGGGCGATATGAAATTGAATGGCCCAGAAATTGAAATAGTCTTGTCTCAACAACTTTGAGAGAGGCTTCTCTAAATGTTTTGCTTTGAGGTTGCCCAGGTTTAGGTCACCAGGGGACTCAGATGTTTTGTCCTTAAAAGCCGAGGGGTAGGCCAGGTAGGGACGCTACCTCGGCTTCACCACACCAAGTCCAACACATTCATAGTTTCGTTATAGGAAAGTTAAATAGGTAACAATTAATAAATGTTGCCCAATTATTAACCCAATATATTTGTGTCTGGTCTCTTCATTTCAGGGGTGGGTAGGCAAACATACAATGAGCATTAAAATTACATTATTCTTCAAATGCTAAACAATGGAATGGGGCTTCTAGTCAATAATTTGTTCTGTTGATTCCTTTTGTTTGACTTAATTCAACTTAAGAACAAACCTACAGAACCTGTCTTGTTCCTAACTTGGGGACTGCATGTATGAGTTTTTGTGTTATTTTTAATTAGGCTGTGAGCTGTGTCTGGAAGAGGACATAAGGAATGAACATCTTTCAGGACTCAAATCCACAGCTGTTATTAGGAAGAACAAAGCAAAACCCACTTGTAATGGATACATAAGGAACATTCATTAGTCATATTATGAGTTTAGATATTTTGACACTACTCTGACAGTGAAAAAGTCTTCAAGGCATTGGGAAATTATTATTGCCTACTTAAGCCAAAGTACTGCCCACTCTAACAGGAACTAAGATCTAGCTTACTATTACAGTTTATGTTGTTGTTCATTTGTTCAGTCGTCTCCGACTCTTCGTGACCTCATGGACCAGCCCACGCCAGAGCTCCCTGTCGGCCGTCACCACCCCCAGCTCCTTCAAGGTCATTCCAGTCACTTCAAGGATCCCATCCATCCATCTTGCCCTTGGTCGGCCCCTCTTCCTTTTTCCTTCTACTTTCCCCAGCATAATTGTCTTCTCTAGGCTTTCCTGTCTCCTCATGATGTGGCCAAAGTACTTCAGCTTTGTCTGTAGTATCCTTCCCTCCAGTGAGCAGTCGGGCTTTATTTCCTGGAGGATGGACTGGTTGGATCTTCTCGCAGTACAAGTTATAGATTCTTTAAAAAACTATATTGACCCAGACAAAGTTATTATGCTTTTGAACTGGCAAGATTTTGACTGTTGCCTTTCAGTGGCAATATTCCTGAACAAAGTTTGTAAACAGAATGTGCAGCAAAAGTGAAGCCCCCTTTTCTATAATTTATACTATATTTTATACTGTTTTGCTATATATGCCAATAAAGGCTTATTGGATTGGAGTTATTTGGGCTGTATGGCCATGTTCCAGAAGCATTCTTTCCTGACATTTCACCTGCATATATGGCAGGTATCCTCAAAGGTTGTTAGGACCTCACAAACTCTGAGGAGGCCTGCCAAAGATGCAGGCGAAACATCAGGAGAGAATGCTTCTGGAATATGGCCATACAGCCCAAAATACTTACAACAGTGATTCTGGTTATGAAAGCCTTTGATTATGTATAGAAAGGAATAGGAAAGCCAACAACATGGTAAAACAGCCGCTCAGTATTTGGGGGCAGAAATGTCTTTAGTAGATGTTTTGACCTTCCAACATCTTCTTCAGACTAATGCAACCCTTAAGTTCCCACAGGTTTCCACGCTTTTTCTAAATAATATGTTAATGAGAAATTGCAATAACCATTTTTTCCACAATTTCCAGACAAAACACTATTAATACTCAAAAACCTGACTTCAGTGATTCAGTATATTTAAATAACACAGGGCATCTGTCTTAAGGATACTGTGGAAAAGGTTATCTACCCAGCTGAGTCCAATTGCCATTTGACTTTTTGTTTCCCAAGGGCTTCTCCTTAGCCATCACTCCTCCTGATCAGTATGCAACTGGAAAAACCTGGCTCTTTGCTTGATTCTGTTTTCCTTACCATGCCTGCCTTCTTCCTTCTGTTTCATTTCTTTTATCCTGTAAGCTTGAAAGTGGAACCTCCTTCAAATATTTAAGTGACAACTAATCATTGGGATGTCGTGATGTGCCTTCAAGTTATTTCCAACTTATGGAAATCCTAACTAGGATGAACCTACATGGAGTTTTCTAGGCAAGATTTGTTCAGAGGAGGGTTGGTTTTGCCTTCCTCTGAGACTGAGAGTATGTGACTTGTCCAGTAGGTTTTTACAGCTGAGAAGATATTCAAACCCTGACTCACAATTCAACATTCAAATCACTATAATATGTTGGCTCTGAGCTGATGGTTTCTACATTGCTGAGGTGGCACAACTTACCAATGTGAGACAAAACTTTTCAGAGACCATCCAAGCCCCTCTCTACACTAAAGTTATATCCTGGGATCTGATCCCAGGTTATTTGCTTTGAACTGGATTATATGAGTCTTCAACTGCCATATAATCTGAGATAATCAGATAGTGTAGAAGTGTAGCCCAAGATGCTATACACATTGCGGGACGGAGTACAGCAATATGAACAGATTAAAATATGTTATAAAATCTAGAGTGGTTTCACCATCACCTCCTAACAAGGAAGTCATGTGCCATCTCCCACTGTTTCTAACAATAATTCTGTTGTAGTAGAGTCTGTTGGCAATGCTGCAGCTGGTAGTAGGAGTGGTAGAGGAGGGAAAAGAGGCACCCAGGTGTTAGACGAGGAACAGCAAAGGAAGAGGATCCGGGAGATGTCACCCACTGATGAAGAGTCCTTCGAGGGGTTCTCCAAGAGTGAAATGAGTGAGGAGGAGGAAGGATACAGATGGGAATAGAGGGACTAAGAGAATTACTCGAGAGCAGGAATCAGATGAGGAGCGTCAGAGAAAGAAGATCTGGGACATACTTACTGCTCCCACGGAGGAAGAGGTTTCATGGGTTTTTCTGGGAATGATGGGTCTGGGAGTGATGGGGATGAAGAGGAGCCACTGGGTTGGACAGGAAGTTCAGAATGTGTGTACTCAACCAACGTTTAGTGACACTTTTGCAGGGTTTTCCGGTGGCGGGGATTGGCAATCAGGTGATACTGTGGAATCATGGGGAGATCTAAGTCTTGACAAGAGGTCGAAGAGTTGGAGGGATGGGCGTTGGCGCTCAGCTGTGGAAGCTAAGCCAGCTGAGAGTGATGAGGATGTGGTGGAGGGCAGCTCATCATCGGATGATGAGCTGTAAGATAAATGTAGGCACTGGAATGATAGAACTTTGCAGTAGGCAAAGTGTTGGTTGCATGCCTTGGGTCTTGTCGCTTTCCTGTTGGGCTTGAATCCTGGATCTGCAGGTTGCTGTTTTGCTTCATGTACTGACCAGCTTGGATTCTCGTAAGTGCGGATTTCCCATCTCCTTGACTTCGGACTGCTTTTGACGATGACACTGCCTTGTGGATTTTAGAACCTTCAACTGGGATTTCTTCGACTTTGGACTGCGTTTGGATGACAGCTTCTCTTCACGGCTCTTTGTTTGTTTTCATTGAACTGTGTGTTTTTGGTGTGCTTTGGAAGAACTCTTGTTTAATTCGGGGGTTATTGACTAAGTTTGTTTTACAAGCTAGAAATTGCTACAACCTTTGAGTTTTGACCAGATGCACTGAAGCAAGTGTCTCTGAGTCATGTTTACTTTGCTTTAATAAATTATTGTTTTGGACATACTCCTGTGTCTGGCTCTTTAAGGCATCTGGGTTTTGACAAGCTGGGTGAAATAAATATTCCAAACATGTTCACAGCGCATCTATATAAGTTTACACATAAACCTGTACAAATGATAAGTTACTAATCTGACTGTAAACCACCAGTGAGGAAAAGTATCCATGAACTGCACTATTTTTCAGTCTGGGATTAATTTGCCAGATGCAATTTGGACTTTTTAAGAAAATACTCACCGCTTTTATTCTTAAGTAATCTATAGATGAGATTTTGAGGAAATCACAGTCCTCCTCGGTAGAAATGATCAGAGTTTTATATTTCAGCCGTCCAGGAAGAGGTACCAATGTCCCAAAGCAACTACCTACACCAAGCTAGAGAGAGAGGGGAGGGGGAAACTCAGCATTTCATATTAAGTACTAGGGATAATGCCATAAAATCTAGATTTTATTTGCTTAGTTAGATATTGCAAGAAAAACAATTATGTACACACTGAAAATTCGGTCGTGCAGGGGTCAGGACTGACTGATATATTTTACAGAAAACATACAATAAAAATAGGTTCTTGTGGGGTTTTTTGGGCATTTCTAGAAATGCCTCTAGAACATGGCCATATAGCCTGAAAAAACCCACAAGAACCTAGTGATTCCAGCCATGAAAGCCTTCGACAATACAATAAAATGATCATTAACCATAGGAAATCTGTGACACAGACATCTTTAAAGCAAACAAATAAATCCATCTAGTAAAAAATCTTATTACAATGGACAAAAGGTTAATTATGTGAACGTAGTTAAGTTTTCCAAAAACAAGAGGAACACATTTTACAAGGCTTTCTCTTATGTTGCAGTCTAGACTATAAAATCACATTAAATTTAGAAAAGGAAAATTACAATTTAACATAAATTCATATATATGAGAATTTGGAGTAGTTTGTTATTAAGATCCACCTGACAGGAGGAGAAGAAAGTGGTGATAGCCCTCTATTTTGTGTTCACTCCACTACCACATCTCTCATTTCAATATTCAAAAATTAACCACATCTGTGAGCCCACTAAATTTCAAGATCTCTTACACTTAAAGTATTTTGTGGCAACTTTAGAGGCCACTAAGTCCATTTGCATGTCCATTTTATGAGAAAATTGAATCCATTTGAAAAGAGGAGGGGAAGTTGGTAATCATGGGGTATATGGTGCCCCTGAGATTCCATTTTCTACCCACTGAAGCCTCCAGAAACATCCCCCAGAAAAATTGAAAAAGAGTGGGAATGATTCAGCCACAAACAGAAAGAACAATTCAAAACCACTGCAACATGTGGCGATTTTACTTCTACACATCCAAAGGCCACCACAACGTTTTACGTTTCTCATTTCTCTCCCCACCCACAACCGCTGAATGAAACCCAATATGATGTGATGTTACTTCTAAATGAGTGGTTCCCAACCTGAGGTCCATAGGCCACCAGTGGCCTGCAAAAACTAAAATATTGTCCTCACTGTTACTACACAGTTGCAACAAGAGCAACTGGTCTCATGAAACCCTCTTATAGTCCTGAGGCTTATTAAATATGGTTTTCTGTGGGCGAGCAGATGATGACTACTGGATGGCATATGTTCTGTATCAGAAACCAGAGCTGATGTGGTCTATCCATTACAATTTTCTGAATCAGCACCCCAAATAACTAAACCAAATCTAAAGTTGACCAAAAACTGATTTGTAACACTTTTGGTCAGAAGAGGGTTGGGAACCACTGTTCTAAATGCATGCTGGTGTGGCATCTGTAAGGGTGCACAGAGAAGAAATGGATCACACACTTTCTTGAGTAATTGAAGATGTCATTTGGAAGAGTGGGGATTCAATTTAAGAATCAATGGAAACACATAGAGCTCTTCTGTCTACACAAACACCACAGATTATCACAGACTGCTCTCGGATCACAAAGCCAATCCTACAAACAAAACATGCAGATTCTACCTGGCCATATTGAACCCAGCTGCCTTCTGTGACATCCACAGAGAATAGTGTCAAGTTCACATTGTTTCTATAGGTGTTTTATCAAAAGCCAAATTTGCATGTTTTTAAAATTCCAGATTACGTAGAGTAATACACACATCATTGCTGTTGTTGTTTCAAATGTTAGTTCATTGGAAGTCTGAATTACTTACATATCTGAAATTTTCAGATGTGCTACATTCTACGTATGAGTCTATTTTCAGGTTTTATTGTCATGCTTTCTGTGCCTAACTGATTTACAATATTTGCTGAAGACTATTTTCCTCTCATTTCTTCCTAATTCAGCTTTATTATCTTACAGAATGCACATTGAGGCATCATGTAGCTACTGTGTTCTTTCTGTCAGTTAATTAATGTACAGAATATATAAAAATGCTACAGAAAGTAAATAGGTATTTGAAATATATTGCTTCCCAATACATTATGTACCCTACCTATATCCTACATCCATATGCTCTATAAATCAGCCCCATTAATTTCAATATAGCATATTACTATGGAAGCAAAAGCTCTAATTCCAGAAAGACATATTGTTCAGTGTGACAAAAGAGAAGAGGAAGATGGAAAACATCAATTGGAAAACATCCTTAACTGAGAAGAAGACACATGTATCAAAACTAAGAAAATATCTATTTCACATGAAACTTTGAAGCCTACACTACAATGGAGAAGTAGATTTCTCTTGGCTGTGAACAACTGTGCAATTTTCTTTTTTAAATGTTCCTGTTATGTTCCCTGTTTTTTCTGTATCTTTGGAAAAGGCTAATATTTTGACTCTAGATTTTAAAAGTTTTATTTTAGCTGTTTCTTGGAATTGGATATAGGAGTCAATATGCTGTCCTTTGTATTTGGGAACTGCTGTCTTCTGCATTTGAAAATTTCTGACAAAACTAAAAGGAAAGTAGAGGAGTCTAAAGAAAACAGACCAGGAGAAATGCATAATGCAGTCATGAGCTGGGCAGTTGCATTACTATAGGATTGGCACTTTCTGAGAACCTATTTTCTGTCCCTGGAATACTGGATCAGCCATGTAGATTACCAGAAATGTAGAGGTGGCCAATGACTCCATTTTTGTGCACTAATGAATGCATTCCAGGTTTTTGCTTGATTGAAAAGAGCTCTCTATAATGCTGTATTTTTTTGGGAGGGAGGGGGGCATTCAACACTGACAAGAGCTCTTTTCAAGCCTAGATTAAAACATGAATTGGAATCACTGCCCTACTGATATTAGAGCCACCAGTTGCCAGTGCAAAAATGCCCAAGAATAACAAAGAATAGGAAAATTGAACATAGCCAATAGTTCATTAAATGTACACAAAAAGGCATTGTAATGGTAGATGTTACCATATTAGTAGTGTCTGTGAGGTTGAGGCCTGTGATGCCTCTGAGGATGAGGACAAGATTTTCTGGTTCAGCCTGGTGTTTCTGTGGAGGAAAGTGAAAGTGTTTTTCAAGATTATGGGAATGTTTTGGGTAGATCTGTTGTCGGGGAAACAGGCAGTGATTCTCATGAGAATTGGCCATTCATTGACTCTGAAAGGAATGTGGAGATAGATGGGATAGTGCAAAACAGAGACAAATCCTGTGTTCCCAGAGACTGAAAGATAAACAAAGGGAACACAGGTGTGAGAAAGAGTGATGTCATGGGCAAGAGGGAGTATTCTTAAGGAATTTGAGTCAATGTTCGGTGGGAAGATCAACTTTGGATTTTATTGAGTCAAGTCAAGTCTTGGGAGCTCCGAGTTAGGAGTTCTGTTCTTGGGTCTGTATCTTGTTCTCCTGTTTAAGTTCCATGCCTCCTGTTTGGATTACAACTCTTGTTTCAAGTTTAAAGACTTTGGATTATGGTCATGTTTATGCTTTCAAACTTTGGCTTGTGTTTGGATTACAAATCTTGTTTCAAGATTCATACCATTGGGGTTATAGTCAAGTTCAAATATGGATGTATTTTTAAACTGTTTTACATTAGAAACTCTTTTCTTAATAAACTTATTATTCTTGTTCATCTATGTGGTGTTTGGGTGAAATGGCGAATCAAATAGATGGTTGGGCTTTAACGAGTGAGTAAAAGGAAAGTGGATTGCAGTATTTAAAAAGGTTAAAATCCCTTGGTGCTATCAGCTGGTTTGATGTAAAAAAAACTTGCAATTACATGTTTACTGAAATCTAATGCTCACCTTTTTTGGTTAACTGACCTCACCAAAATTGGGGTGCACATAAGATTCATGTCATACTGTAATCTTAGTGCTTAGCTAAAGCAAAAAGGGAATATGCTTCAGAAGGTGCACCTGGAGCTCCTCTTTGAGGGACACCATCTCTGATTAAATGGTCAGGGCTCAATGCTATTCAATTTGTAGTTTAGTGAGGCACCAACATTCTTTGGCAGAGAAGGTTCAAAACCTTGTCAAACTGCAGCCCCCCAGAATTCCATAGCACTGAACCAAGACAGTTAAAGTGTGTTCATTCTATAGCAGAGATGAACCCCAAGATTTTCCTTTCCATCACTGGAAGCTTTGAATGTTCTAACACACTTGTTTATAATGAAGGAATTTGAAGCAAGCAGCAGTGGCAATGTGCTCATTTTTTCGCCAAATTACAAAGAGCGCACTTTTTGTCACTGTGCATTACATCCAGCAGCAAATACTTTTTTTGGTTTTGGGGTTTTGAAAATTAATGTACACATTTGATTCGGTAGTGCATTAGACTCGAGTAATTACGCATAGTTCACATCTCCTGATTTGCAAATTAAAATTACCCCATAGATTTAAATTACCATAAGCATGTAAATTCAGTTTCATTTGATGAAAAATAGTATGAGAATTAGTATACAAACAATAGTAATGTTTGTATATATGTAGATTTTAAATTGTATTGAAATGCCGCCATTCCTTTATTTTCTAGATGGATGGAAGCTATGCCAATCTAGCAATATTCTTTGTTATGAAAAGCCTCTGTCATAATCACTCTGTTTTCAAACCAGAGAAATCCTTTTAAAATAGCTACCAGTGTTTCCATTATAGAAGTTTATATCATGGCGGTCACACTTTATTTCAAAGAGTGCTGCAAGCCATACCACAGCATATAAAACTATCTTAGTATAAGACCTTTTCAACAAAATAAATACTTATGCAGTAATTAACACACTGACCAAGTTAAATTTCAGAATGGACCGATATATAGTTTGGGGATTGAAAAAAATATATGCAGAAGCTCTTAGTTAGGAAATCTCTGCAGCTGTTCAAATTGTAAATCCAAAGCCAAATGTCATGAAACTCTCTGTCTTTGTGTCTTTTGTGTGAGCATGTTGTTAACTTCTTCTTAACAATTATCATAGATAATTTGCTCTCAACAATTTCTGTCAATCTAATGTGTCTACATTAAAAATGCACAAAACAATACTGATTCTCAATTAGACAATTAAATATGTTCTACTATAGCAGAGTTGGATATTCCAATATTATACTTTGCCTACAGTGACAAAAGCATCAGCTAAAGCTGTCACCACATAACACATTTAAAAATGAGATTTTCTTTCCTTTCATAGGAAACAGCACTGGCACACCTCTGGCAATCTGTAAGAAAGATCCAATTTAGACAAAAAAAATACAGGAGAATTAATCTTTTCTCCCTGTCATTTCTGCCCAAAGTCAGTGTATTTTATTCTGGCGAGTTAGCAGGGGAAATTTGCAAAGAACCTATTTTTGGGAGCCATTTAGTCATGCATCCTGGAGGCATCTGGAATTCATTTGTTGTTTTGTTAGTATGAGACCTTGGGAAAGATGTGATAGTTTTAAGTGCTTGAAAAGTAAACCTAGTGGCAGCAGTTCTAGCTGGTTGGTGTAAACTGCTTGTCAGTGATTGTAAATTACAATGACAACCATGGGGAAAATCATACTTCCTGCAACCTCTTCTTGTCATTCCAAACAATCCAATTCGCCAAGGATGGCAGAGGAGAGATCTTAGCTTTTGCCCAATACATCGGACTCCAAGTCTCAGGCACCTTCTACACTGCCGTATAATCCAGATTATCAAAGCAGGTAAACCACATTATCTGCTTTGAACTGGGTTATATGAGTCTACATTGCCAGTTCAAAGCAGATAATCTGGATTTTAAATGGCAGTGTAGAAGGGGTTTCAGTGTCCCAAGTAGCTTCCATCCTCTTTATCAATTATGAAGACTCAAACAAGTATTTGGTGGTTAAAGGCTCCCTTTATATCTGATTCATGAAATACCCAACAGCTTTTTAATTCTTATCAAAGGAAATAACACAAAATAAAACCAGTAGATACAAGGTGAGCTAAATTCTGTATGATGTCAAGCTTTATCCCTTTGTCAGGATACATCCCCATAACTAAACGTAACTAAAAGGTTAAAACTGGATTGTAAAAAGAGGTAATACCCCCCCCCCCCAATAAACATACTAATCTTGAATGGACTGTTGGCTGTCTTCTTGATGCACAGTGTCTTCTAATGGGTATATTGGGTTTTTCAGTTTAAACCGACTTTGCCCTGCTTTTACCAAAGTTGGGAAATATTCCAAAGTCTGCTGCAAACTTCAGAGTTCCCCAGAGCTTCAAGGTATGATGCACAGTGGCACTGGATCTGATTAGGATCCACTGTCTGGCATTGACACCAATGCCAACATCCTTCATTAGGACATGTAAAATGAGTGGATATCCATGTTGCTGCTGCTCCTACTCTCAGCCACCTCAAATCTCTGTATGAACCACTGTGGGTACCCCATTCTGATTTCAGCAGAGGTGCCCCCACAACTGGAAAGAGAGTGCCACTCCACTTTCTTGCTGGTCACACAGGCACCCCATTTGAAGATCAACAGCAGTGCATGCAACAGTCAGGAGCTTGGACAGAGCTCCATATCTGACTGGGAACAGTGACAACATTTAGGATGTGACAGTGCAGTGGAACAGAAGCATTCCCAGGCCATCTAACAATGCCATCAGATTCAACATTAATTTTGCTGAACTCAGGGATGATCCAAGGCAGATTTACTTTAAGGTAAACTGCCTGGTGTAGAAGCACCCTAAGTCAATAATACATTATTTGTTAGATTTGTAACTAGTACAACTAATTATTATATGACAACAATATCAAATTAGCCCACCTGGAAACTCATCTATAGTGATAAAAATGTAAGGGTTTTCTTCCTGCTTGTCTTGTCTCCAAGATTATAAAACCAAAACTGCTTAAATTTTGCTTGTATACTAAAGAGACTATGAAGATGTATCTCTCAGATTAGTGTTTTTTAAGTGGATTGATTAATGTTAATTAAAAACTTCCTACAGCAGTCACCAGGCTATTAGCTGAAAACAACAGATTCTTTGAAGTTTGGTCTGAATGTGTACAACTTCTTTTGTATGAAGCATCAAAAAGGTCATACTATTTGGCCTTTGATAGTGCAACCCTTAATTATTTCTGGAATGAAGTAGATCCTATAGCCCCATCCAACATTTCACAAAGCAATATGAGAGTGTAGTTTTTCATGCTGTACCGTGCCTTGAGCCACAAGGAATGGTGGGTAATAACATGTTATTTTTGTTGTTGTTATTACTTAAATGTTTCAGAAGAACACAGATGATGCAGCCCTTTGCTTATGCCTTTTTGACATTGCTTTTGAACTCATTTTCAGCAACTGAAGTAAATGAAGAACAAAGAAAAAAGTGGAAAAAGGAAAAAAAGTGAAGGATGAAGAGACAAGTGAAAGAAAGAGTGAGGAAAAATAAATAAGCAATGGAACAAATGGAATGATGGAGAATTAATCAGGGTTTAATTAAAATTCTCCATGCCAAATCAGGACAGTTGGGAGTTATGAGGTTCTACTTCTTTACAATACCACTGTCTGGTGAACCTTCTTGGGTCTGTTGCTAGGGAAGTCAAAGTCTAAAGAGAAAATGAAAATTCCTGATGCCTGATACATAAGGGGAAGAGACAGCAAGGATGATTCAATGATCAGTGGGTGAGAAAAGAAAAACAGTTAAGAAGAAAAGGAACATAAGATAATGTTGCCATATTGTCCACTTGGGTGAGTTTTCCTTGGATTCTAGCCATGCCACTCGGCACTTGCTTACATGATCAACTGGGTTGGATTCTCAGTTTTCATTTTAAAAAGAGTAATCTGGTACATAAAGCTGTGCCTGCTTCATATATATTTAATTGTCATGAATTCATTCTGAGGAGTTTTACAACTTGGTGCTAAGGTACTTTGGAAGTACAAAGCTATCTTGGGAAGAGAGATATTTAAACTTCAATCAGGTTGGTCACTCTGGATTCCATACAAATAATGAAATACACATTCTCTTTCACAATATGCAATTATTTATAATTCTATCTCAGAAAACTCTGGTGTTTCACCAACTACAAATCTCAGACTTCCATGAGTGATATCAAAGTATAGTGTGAAAGAGACAAGGGCAACACATTCATACAAATGGCTGCTATCCTTTCTTTTCTCATGTTTTATGTATTTTATTGTATTGTTGTTTTATGTCTTGGTTTTATTTTATTTTGTTGTAATGTGTTGTCGGGCTTGGCCTCATGTGAGCCACCCTGAGTCCCCATTGGGAAGATAGTGGCGGAGTATAAATAATAATAATAATAATAATAATAATTATTATTATTATTATTATTATTATTATTATTATATTTTCTTTGATAAGAAACCTAATAATGTAGCCATTGTGCTTTGTTTTTCTTCATTCCTTTAATTTGTTAATAATTGTAGGAATAATAATAACAACAACAACAACAACAATGCTTTATTTATATACCATCCTGTCTCTCTGAAGGGACTCAGGGCCATGAAAAGTTATGTATCTATTTGTCCTTTTTGGCTACTATCATTATTTCTTTCTTAACCTACCAATGGTTGTGGTGGCAACACCCAGGATAATTTAGTTGGTATCACGATGGAAGTGGATGATGATGTTGCTGAAATAAAATGTCCTCCAACCACTTTCTTGTAATATTTTGTCTGTGGTCTAATAGATCCTTTGAGTACAGCATAAAACCCCATGCTTCCATCCACTGCAATTAAAATAAACACTGAATTAACAATTAGTTGTGGTTTCTCAGCCAATTAGAGAGAGAAATGACATGTTTATGCATGATTTAAAAAACATAACATAGGAAATCTACATCTACAATATAGACAACACAGCTCAAAGTAGGTTTTGGGGAGTTAAACTTTCTGTTCTTGTCTCCCAAAGAGGACCTTTTGCTTAAATTGATGACAACTAGAGGTGAAGGTGTGGGGGGCACTCTTCAAATGTTGTTGGATTGCAAATTCCAAAAGCCTAAGATAGTATAGCCAGTGATGAGTAAGCATGGGCACTATACTCCAACTAGATCTGATGAGCCAAACATTTAATGTTGTTGCCTGGTCAGATTCTGAGTGTTCGGATGAGGAGGCAAGGGATGTTCAGAGAGTTTCAAGGGATGTTAGGAGAGATAGAGTGAGCTCAGGTAGAGTTGTTTTGGAATCGCTTCCTGGCAGCAGTTCCCAGGAGAATGGAGAAGCTGATGTTAGTTCCCATGGGAACCTCCCAGGAGCACAGGCCAAGGAAAATGTGAGAGACAAATATTTGTCTAGGTCAAGACAATTAGAATTGAGGGCAGAGGGCATGCAATTGAGACAGAATCGCCATTCTCAGATAATTAGAGACTAGGAATAAAGAAGCAGGTGTTGAAGAACTGATGTTATGAGAAGTTTGGGGCTTTCTAAAGTGGTTCAGGCTGGTACATTCCTTGTGAGAGAAATGCTGCATTCAGGTGAAGAACTCTTTGTTTCATGGAATTCATGTACTCAAGTTTCTAAGCTGGTCTTGTTCCTGGTTCCTTTTGAACTTTAATTCTTTTTTTTTCATTTGCTTATTTTTATTTTACCTGGACAGTGTATGGTTTGTGGTGAAAAGCGGCTTTAGGGCCCTATTGAAACACCTAATACCTAAGAATAAATGTCTATATGACACATAAAATGGTAAATTTTAGTCTCATCTAGGGATGTTATCACACCAGCCTGTTGTCTCACTGCAATCACGTTATTTAAGCTAACAGAAAAATCCAGTTATTGGAACAATCTTTTTTCATAATTCTGTATTTTAAAAGACTGTTGACAGAATTTTCCTCTCTTCAGTGGGGATCCAAAAACAAATTAAAAGAGAGATCAGAACCTTGAATTTGCTATCTACAATTTCTATTGGATAGTAAACTAAGAGGTATGGATCATCAGCTCATAGTCTTATTTCCTATAACGAGTTTAGTATTTTTTTCCCCTTTGCTTAAATATCCATTTCTTGTGCTTGTCAGTGAAGAATAAATCTAAGTGGATTTATCCTCTCCACTGAATAGTGAATAAAGATTTCTAAATTTGCCCCAACTCTGGCAGTCTTTAGGAGGAGCCTGAAAATGTGGTTGTTTCAGTGTGCCTTCCCAGAATAAGGAAACTCCCAGCAATATGTCCCTAAATGCACTTTATTAATGATCTAGGATTGTCTGCACATTTCATCCCTCTCCAAAATTTCTATCCTTGTTATATGTCACCTGGTCATGTCCAGCATTATTTTTAAAAAATGTAATTATTACATTTGGCCCAGCCATAGGTTTTTAAACGTCATGCTATTGTTAATGTTTATTGCTTATTTTCTTCTTATGAGTTTATTTATTGTTTTGTATTACTGTTGCTATTATTTTTATTGTTGTATTGTGGGCTCGGCCTCATGAAAACCGCACCGAGTCCCTTGGGGAGATGGTAGCAGGGTACAAATAAAGTATTATTATTATTATTATTATTATTATTATTTGAATTTATATGTATTATTGTGTACAAATTTTGTTTCTCTCCCACCACACTTTGCTTAAATGGTCCAACCAAAGCCCACACATGTACAATACAATATCAAATGGCTGGTTATTCCAAATGCTTTTAAATTTTCATTCTGAATTATCAAGATTATATGACAGTTATCTCTCCTCTCTGACATGAAATGTTTTCAATTTAAAGAAAAGCCCTCTTTTTGGCTTTTCAGTCAATGAAGAACAAGGAATTGAATCACTATAGCCCAGAGCCCCATGTGGTAATGCATAAGTGTGAGGAAGACAGACCATAAGAAAATAAGAGGTGTTAAACAGCTGACCCTGTTTCCATCTGTAAAGTAATGTTTCAGTTGAGTCTTGAACTTCCTGCTGTGACATTAGAATGCCTTTGGTTTAATATATGCAACACCGTCCCTCTGATTTGCAAAACAAATGAAGAGGAAAAATATTGCTGGTAGTGTTTCAAAAAGATAACTGAGAACAAAATAAGGATAGAAAACCACACACACACACACACACCATTTTTTCTTACATTTGGTTTTCCTGACACCCATGTCTTGCAAAATGATCTCAGAAGATTAAAGACTCGTCAGGCATGTATTATTTTTATCAAGTCAGTTTTGCTTAGCAAAAAATCAATTTTGTGTTTATTTTTAGCTTGCTGAATCAGATGAGATTGAAAATATTGCTTAAGCAGGTTCAAAGAAGTGGAAAAGATTGTACATTGATGCAAAGCAGTTTAAAAAAAAAGACATCATGTGACATCCTGAGTCATTAAGATTAGCTTTTATCTCATACACACATTGGCGCTCAGCAATTTCAGGCCACTTTTTACACTAACACAAGGCAGTTTTAATGGTATGTATATTAATTCAACACAGGACTTAATCCAACAGAACATGACTGTTCCAGTGGTCAAGGTACCAGAGGAGATTTGGACAGGTTGCCACAAATTACACCCCTACAAGCAAGATGCCAATTTTCATCATTATCACCTCAGTCACAAGCTCTGACCTTAAAATTGTCCTTTTTATTATCTCAAAATAATTTATGCTAATGTAGTTCCTGCCTGCTTAGATTACAATTCTGACTGTCTATTAATAACATGTCCTTCAGTTGCTATTTTCAGTTTATGTGATGTTCCTAAAATGTAAAATATCAGTGTAATGTTTAACTTTAAGAATGAATACTTTTAGTAGTGCCAGTGAGTTCACAATGAAAGCTAAGGACATTGGATGAACTTCAATGGCAAACTGCCATTGAAGTTCATCCATCACTTTTGGTAATATCCCCCATTTTATGATACTATGTGCATCCTGCTAGCAGTTTGCTTTCTCCCCAATAGGCCCTCCCTATTGATGGGGAAACCCTTCAAAATTCCCACCACCTACCTTGGTTTTGTGGGTTTCTTCCACTTGACACCAGGGGATGGGATTCACCTCTTTGTCCCCATTCCCTTGTTGTTTCCAAGCTATCTGTTTTCTGATTATTCTCTATTTTACAGTTATATTAGATTTTTTTTTGTTTTTAAGCTGCAGTAAAAATAAATTAAAATTAAAATTAAATAAGGAAAAGCAGAAACGCAGATAGGCAGGCTATGAAAGTTATGTGGAAGGACAATCTCAGCATCATAGTTTTCCAAATCTGTGCAATTGTGCAAATGAGGAGAGCTGTGATATTGAAGGTGCTCATACCAATATGTAACTATGCTATAAAGTGCTAAATCTCAAGTTATGGTAAAATCCATTGAAGGCTCTGCCCAACAGAGTGGTGATTTAGGGGGAAAGCACCATGAAGGAGAAGGTTGAAACTTCCATTCCTTTATGCAGGATTCCATCCCAGATTAGAACCCTGAATGTTTGTTAGTAAAGGAGAAAGCAAAGGTTCGGGCTACAAGCCAGCCTGGATATATTGTTTAAAATAGCACTAACATGTGTTCCTATGTAATTGTTGCAAGCTGTTAGAAATCTGGGCTTACTGAGAACAGCATACAAACTTCCGGTAACACTGTTAGTTCCATGAAAGATATGCTGAATATGCTTGGGAAATGGACTCAAAGTACTGAAATTATATTTAAGAAACCAGAGAACATAAAAAAGTTGAATACATTAATATAAAAAGTGGAAATAAATGGCTAAATTCACTTCACTTCTCTGCACTGGAATCCCATATATGTAGTGCTAGATATAGAAATTCTGAGGGTACAATTAGTCAGAACTGCCTCACCTCCTTCATACAAATGATGCCACTGTCCATGAATGTGCCACTTTTTATACGAAATTGGTACAACTTTTGAAAAAGAAATAGAAAGAAAAAAACAAGAAAGGTGTGAGCTTTTTGCTCCTTCTCCTTGCTTCTCCCACTGCATATTCTCGCAATCTCCTGCGCACACACATACAGAGAGAAAGAGAGTAGATGAATACTCAGGAACAGCAGGAGCAACATTATGGGAAGCTGGTAGCTTTCATCTTGGTTGTCATGATGAATCCACTTTGGATTTTAGTCTGAACTTTAGAGAAGCTGTTTTACTTATTGACACCTATCCCCCAAACAGATTCAGCAGTTTGGATAGCTTACTCTAGATGTCAGATTTGATCTCAAAATGAATTCATTGACCAATTGACACATTGTTTTAATCATTTCAGACCACTGGCCATGCTATCTAGGTTTTATGGAAGTTGCAGTTTGTGACAAAGTTGTTGTCTAACCTCTCCTAGATTCAGACCACCAGAAGAGAAGAAGAGCAGAAGAAATAGAAAACAATTTCACATATACTGTGATTTCTCAGTTGCTAGGGAAAGGTGGGCTGGGTGGTAACATGGTAGAGTTAAAGGAAAGGTAAGCAAGAAAGTCATTATTACAGAATGAATTGGCATACAAAGCCAGACTAGTGCTATTCATGTTTAAAGGGAAGCCTTGAGAATAAATCTTTTACTCCTCAATCACTGCCTGAGACTGGTGGATTTAAAGCAAATAAACAAATAGTATTCAATCAGGAGAATGTTTGGATCCCAGCCACATGCATATAGAAAAACAATAGAATTATCTTATTTCCTTTCATATAATTCAAATTGGACCCAAGATTTAACCATAAAGTGGAGTTACTTGTACAAGAAAATGGACAGCATATCTGTTTTTCACATTTTTTTTTCATCTACTGTTTCAGAGAGTAATAAGAATTATCTTCAGACACGAAGATAGAACAGGAAGAATGAAATAAACATTGGACATGACAACAAAGTTTTCATTCTTAACCATTTTTTCTCAAAGGAAGCAATAATCAATTTAAACTATGTTTTCCTGTTGTGAGAAAGTCTTAGAAAATCATGCAATTTTGAGTTTGGGCCATTCTGCACAAAATCTGCATGAGGATTTAACTGCTGAATTTCTCAACAATTAAAAACATGTTTTCAGTGATTTTCAGAATATTTCAAAATATATTTTCCATTCCTAGCTGATACAGAGATGTAGAACATGTGGCAAAAGGAAAATGTGAAAATGAAAAGCAATAGAGGGACCTGGCCTATATTTATAAATCTGCTGATGTGAAATTTTGGAGCTGTTTTTGACAGTTGTAACTTCAGTTATTCAAATTTACTAATATATGTGAAAGACAGAGTTCAGAATTTGGACGTCCCTAATCTGTTGCCTTTATAATGTTTTGGATAGCCTCTGCTCAAGGAACAAGCATGCTAACAAACTGGATGTTAACAAACAATACTGGAAATGACTAAGTTCCTTACCTGGACTTCCTTTCTTCCAGTATTCTGTTACAACAGTGAAACTGAGCTCCCTCATCTCTGCATCAGAAAGTTGTTCACTGATACCAGAAATTAATTTCATCATCTTATATACACTCTCATGTTCTTTCTGAGTTCTCATAATAGGGCTGCAGATTACAGAGAAAGGAAAATGACATCAGTTGTCATTCAAAAGTTGCAAACAATGAAGATTTCTATCAGGTATAAAAATATGAACCTGGGAAATTTAAGAAAAGCAATTAGAAATGAGAAGATGTCATGATGGCATGAAATTTCCAATTTTACAAACAGTATCTAATTAACTATATTTTATACTCAGGTATGACCCTTAAAAAATTAGTCAAAAATTGATCCCAGAAACCTGGATTGAATTTTCCACAAGTCATATCAAAATCCTTGATTCTGGCCCCAAAACCTGGAACTGGCTAATACATGAGTATATGTAGTACTCAAATATGACACATCCTGAATGATAAAAATCTGCAGAAGAGATATTTTAGGATTCAAAAGATTGGTATTATAGAAAGCAGCCCTGCAGCTAGTATTACTTTATCTCTTTCTCCAAAATGGCTGTGGCTTTGCCTTCAGCTGCAACTGAGAAAATCAGCAAAATCAAAGTGCCAAACATGTACTATCTTAAACCCCCAGCAATCCTCTCAAACCCCTTAGGTTACAAAAAGGTATTTAAAAATTTGAGGAGCAACATAGTTGTAGAATCAGTATGGTGCAGTGGTTTGAGATTTGAAATACAATTTAGAAGACAAAAGTTTGAAATGTCACTCAGCCATTGAAACATTCTCTATTATTCTCAGATAAAAGCAAATTCAAAAACCCTCTGAACAAATCTTGCAAAGAAAACTTCATCTTAGAACCTCTTCACATGGGTTTCTTTTCAGTGGCAGTGACATGGGGTTTTAAGTTGAGCCATGCAGCCCTATGGCTCCCATCACACCCAGTAAAACTACTTCTGGGGAGGCTCTGTGATCTTTGGGAGAAAAGTATTTGTCTTATTTTGGTAGTAGATGCTGCTGACTTTCCTCCAGGTTTGTGAATTTTGGGTATCCTGACCTGTCTCCTGAACTTTTGGAACCTTGAATCCCTGGACTGGCTTTTGAATATGGTATAGTCTCTTTATCCCTGGATTTTACTCACTGAACTCTCAGCATTTGACCACTAGACTGGACCCTTTGACTACAGTGTTCTCTTGAACTTGCATCGGTGTTTGCTTTCAGTTTTTGTTTTATTATTCTGTGGCTGAGTGCTATCTTTATGTTTTATATTTTGGACTATTAAAACATCCAGAAAGTAAGTGCTTCTTTAATTAAACCATTTGATATAAACTGGGTGTCGTTTTGGTTCACCTCTGCCTGTGTATCAGCAGAGCCCTTGCATCGTGACAGGAGGCTCCCCATCTTTCTATTAGGAATGATGGGTCAAACCGGATTTAGGAGGCTGCCCCCTGTGTGATGAGGCAGGATGGAAGCCATGATGGTGTGGGGCATGGGACGGCAGGTCCCCACACTCCCTGGGTGGGCACCACAGGTATACAATGAGACAGACTGATTCCAGCAGTGCATATGACAAGGTTCTTAGAGACCCCATAAGGCCCAAACAAGGTGAAGGCACACAAAAACAAGAACAAATCCAGATGAAAGCATCCCAAACCAACCTTAAAGTGGTTTGCCTCCTTCAGTCCCACTAAATGCCCCCACAGGCTTTTTAAAATCCATAAATTAGCCTAAAATGGTGACTGGAAATGATGTCTGGTGCACAGTAGACAGAATGGTATAGCCCTCAGGGTGAAACTTGCCTCTCATCTCAGTAGTCCAACCATGTGTGAAGTAACGTATGATGACTTTGACTGAGAGGCTAACCACACAATAAAATTACAGGAGCCCACTTTTTAAAAATCCCCACAGTATCTGAATTCAGTCAAGATGGCAAAAGATATGAATGAAAAAGTGCACAATTTAGACAGTTCGTTTTTTCCTGAGTCTGCAGAAAAGGAGAAAATTCCTCCCACTCCACTCCCACTACCTTGCTGAATTAAGTGATTTCAACTTTTTGCACTTTCAACTCAGTTTGTAGCAACTGAGAAATGCGGGAGAAGAGAAAAACCAGGACATGTTAAAAATAGGTGAAAATGGGATAGAAGATCGTTTGGGACTATCCCTAAAAATGGTCTATTGGAAGTGCAAAGGACAAAATTCTGACGCAGTTGTTTGATACATGTTTGATACATTTTTCTTTTTTGGCTATATTTCTGTACTGAATCACATCTGATCTCTATTTTGAGGTTCAAAGGTAACTTTGTAAAGCTAAGCACACACATGCCACCCAATGATGGTGATTCGGAATGAGAAAATAAGTGGTGGGGAAAGTAGCTACTACCACTTATCATTTAAACTAATTTCACAGCCACAACCACCAAAGATTATTTTCACAAAATAATTTCAAATAAGCTCCCAATAAGCTTATTTCAACTGAGAAAAAAGTTCTCAGAGAAAGGTAGGTACTGAAGTAAAAGTTAATGAAATGCATAATTCTAACATTTTCAGTTCAGGTGAAAGGTTGGCACCGAAGGCTGACATTATGACATGATAAATTAAGGCAGCTGTGGCAGGGAGCAGATTTTGGGTGTCATGAAAGGGCAACAGATAATTAATTACTTAATTATTGTTGTGTTATCTCTGCCAGAGATGGTAGAGGTGCTTGGAGGATTTCCTGCCACATGTACAAAAATAACATGGATGGATTTGAATGGCTGTGAATTTCAAATTGGGTGAGTGGGTAATGCTGCTATTTGAGTTTTAGGTAGCAAAATCTTTTAGACAGGTCTACATCTGGACAGTCCATTGCCAGGGGAAAAAATGGAAACATAGATACTTTGCTATTTTGAAGGTTCAGTGCCTTGCGCCCATCAATTGCCACTTCTTTATCATCATTTTCACAGATAAATCAGCCAAAGAGATTTCAGACGATGACAGTGTCCTTTTGCCAGGAAAATCCTACCAGCTCAGCTAACAGAGGCTGCTCAAAACAGGATAACTACACTAATGTAAAAAAAAAGAAGAAGTAAAAATGTAGCAATTTAATGCTCCAAATTATAGTATTTAGGATTTTAAAACTGGACATTTTTCAGGGAATTCAAGGGAAAGACTTGCACAGTTCCCAGCTGCCAAGAAGGCAACTTTTGCCATTCTTGATGAGAAACCTTTGAAATACCACAGTACTTTTCAATTATAGGATGTGTACCCTAAATGAGCTCTCCTTCATCTCCTGAGTCTCTAGAGGACATAGGCTAAATAGGGAGTCACAGCATCTTGAGTAAATGGCACTGACATGATGAGAAATGGAATTGGTGACTGCAGAGCTCAGTTCTCCAGCATTACAAAACTCAGGTAGCAGCCATGTAGAATCCACTGTGAAACAAAACTAACATCAGAGGGAGATAAGTTAAAATTATACACTGCTCTCACAATAAAAGGCCTACAACACCTAATTACCAGAATAAACAGAAGAGTGCACAAGCAGGTAGGGAAGGCAGAACAAATACTCTGAGTCCTCTTCATAGCATGATGGAAACAGATCTAGTGGCAAATTGTAAAGGATGCCTCAACCACTGCTGTGCTTCTTAATAGAATCTACCCAAATGGAGTGTGTTATTCTTAAATTGAGAGTTGCCTTTGAGTGACCATCGGGACAAAAAGTGAAGTATATTTACTTCACTGTTTAAATAAACAAGTAGTGTTGGGTATCTGCTGTAACCTGCCTCAAACCAATAGAATACTGTTCTGTATTATGAGTCAATTAACCTACATCATATCAAATTTAATAGCTTTAAATATTTTTGAAGTACAACATCTATCTGCAGTCAGTTTGACCAATCTCCAGGACTATGGGGATTGTAATAGAAAGTAGTATCTAGGAAGACTTAGTGGGGCATCTTGTTTTTCCTATCCTGGCTTAGATATTTCTTTGGTTTAATCCAGCAAAATTATTGGTTTGTTGTTGTTGTGTGGCTGCTAAATTATTTCCAACTTAGGGCAACTCTAAAACAAACCTATCATGGGTATTTGTTTGTTTGTTTGTTTTTTAAAAAGTTCACAAATGGTTTGCCTTTGTCTTCCTAAGAGATTGAGACCTAGTTAGTTTCCATAGCTGATCTTTAGTTCTCTGTGTTGTAGACCAATACTCAAAGCACTATACCATGTTGGCTTTCAAGTCATTGCTATTCTTCCTTTATTTTTCCTATTGCTGCCTTACAGCATTTACTTTAATTCAGCAGTAGATCACCTACAGTCTGTCTATGGTCCCCAAGATGTTTGTTTTTGATGGCCTTCAACCTCCATAGTAACCCGAAAAGCCCTTCAAAACAACAAAAAGATGTTTCTTTGAAAGGTTTTGCATGATTTCCTCCCCAAATGCAGTATCCCTTATCTGAAATGGATGGGACCACAAGTATTTTGAATTTTGTGTTTTGTTTCATTTTCTCAAGATTTTGGAAAACTTGTAATCACACATGAGATATTTTGGAAATGAGACCCCGTGTGAACTTGAATTTCCTTGATTCTTTATATACTTTATACATGTAGAGAAAAGGTAATTTATGCACACTAAATCTTGGCAATAATGGGTTTCAAATGGTGTCTCCCAACATTAGAATCCAACTTTCAAACCACTGCACCACATTGGCTGTCCCAATTGTGTGTACCAGATCATTTTAAAAAATCTCTCTGTCCAATAACTCATTTTATTGTAAACAATTTAGCCAGCATTACTTTTTAAAAAACTACCAGTACAACACTCTCAAAGGAGACAATAATGCTGAAACATTAACACGGTAGCTTGTAAATAAAAAGGCCTTTACTGTCAGGGGAGAAAAATCCCTTTAGGCAAAGAAATGAGACAACTATGTTTCCTATCTCTCAGCATTATTTGTATTATACATTGCTCCCTTGAAAATTAACGTTCAAAATAATACCAACAGAAACAAGATAGATACAGAAGTAAGGAATACTGAATTATGTTGAATAATGTGGTCATCTAACAAAGGCAAAGTTATTATGGAAAACAGGCATTGGGTTAAAGAGGATTCACTACTGGTTTTACTTTGAACTATAAAGGA